TTTTTAAAATACAAAAATATAGCTGCCAAAACAAGAAGAATTATGAATATTAAAAAAAAGGCGAGTTTCAGGGAATTTACAGAAACATTAAACAGGCAGTCCCCCATTGGTACTGGACAGCTTAGCCCCACCCTATGTTACATCTCTGGAAGAAACTAATAGGATAAAACACAGACACAACGATTTTAAAGTAATAACATGGGACGAAATAGATTTTAATCTCCAAAAGAAAAAGGACACAGCACCAGGGATGGACAACATAACATACTCAATGATACAAAATGCACCAAAGTTTGTAAAAGAAGATCTTCAGGAAATATATAATAAAATAATGCTTACAGAAATGGAAATACCGAATCACTGGAAAAATCACATAATAATACCGATTAAAAAACCCAACAAAGAACCCAGATTCAGACCATTGGCATTGGCCTCGTGCCTGGGGAAAACTTTAGAAAATACTCTCAAAAACAGACTGGAACACTTTCTAGAAAATAAAAATTACTTTAGCCATTATCAAAACGGATTCCGAAAAGGAAAGGGAACAACCTGGTAATACTGGCAAACTCAATATACACAGCTTTTTCAAAGAATCAGATAGTGGTATGTGTCTTTATTGACCTTAAAGCAGCATATGATAATGTGTCATTAGAAAAATTGAAGAAGTACATGCTTGAGGCCGAGATTGATAAAACAACAACAGAATTTATTTATAACCTACTTATGGACAGAAACATCTACATAAAGTCTCCCAAATCAGGAATGGTCATAGGACCACAGGTAGCACGCACGGGACTGCCACAGGGATCTCCCCTGAGCCCAATATTGTTCAATATCTACACGAATAAAATACAGGAAGCAACAGGAGAAGAAACAAATATACTACAGTATGCAGATGACTTGGCACTGTTTGTGGCTGATAAGCAAACGGAAAGGTCAATGCAAAACGCACAAAATACAATGAACAAATTAAACAAATGGCTCCAAGAAAACAACTTGGAAATTTTGGTTGAGAAGACAAAAGCCATTGTGTTTTCAAAGGGTAGGAGAAGGAACCTGGATACAAAAATAAAGATCCAAAACTATTTGACTTCAGACTATCATGGAATACACAGGTAGATCAATCAATTAAAAAGGCACAAAAAGGCATAAATGTAATGAGGGCATTAACAAGGACCTAGTGGGGGGCAGACCCTAATATTCAGTTAAACATATATAAAGGATTGGTGAGATCGCACATAGAATATGGCTGCCAGGCCATTTACCACACTAGTAAACTTAATTGGAATAAGTTAAACCGAATACAGTTTCAAGCACTAAGGGTGGTTACAGGATGCATGAAAAGCACACCAGTGCCCACATAACAGTGAAAGAACATTCATATTCTCAGAATATTCCCTCAAAGTGCTTTTTGGAATGTTCTTTTAGGAATGTTTAATGAATATTCTAAGATTGTTTCGATTGAAATATTCATTTTTGTACTATTTATGTACTAGGAATGTTGCTTCTATGCACCTACCTGAAAGATTGTGCTAAGAACCTACTTTATATAACAATCTTTGAATATTTTCATACGAACATTATTATAATGTACCCTAAAAAATGTTCTTTGGGCTAATATCTCTATCAAGTATTAAGAATATACCTACCAAGTTGTGCTGAGAAGTTTATGTAGGTAGGTAACCATGATAAGAATATTTTCATATTGTTCCCCTAATTATCTGAAGTACCTACTCAAAAATCATAATTCAACAATTAAACAATAATCTATCTGGAACCTACTAAGAATATTATAGGTATATTCTTTTCCTTTTGCTTTGTAGGACTTCCAAGAGAGGGAGCCACGCGCTATTAAAGATCTACATCTTACCTCGCGTTTGAATCACCTTGGAACCTGTTTCTCTCAGTTGGTGTAGCATAACAAGCTCGAAACCGGAGCTTTGGTTAAATACTTGTGTTTTCCAGAGAAGTTTCCCAACAACTCTTTCACTGCCTTTAATATAAAAGGGCTGGAAGGAGCATTATTTGGAAGCGAAAATTAACATTCCAAGTATATCCTTAGAATCAACAAAGAATGTTATGTCTAGGATGCATATTGAGAATGATATGTGTAGATATATTCTAAGAATATTTCAAGCATATTGGTATAATATTCTTTTGAGAACATAACTATAATGTCATAGAAACATTCTTTGAATGTGAGAATACCTATACATATCGAGCATATTTTTAGAATCAAACAAGAATATTCTTTTCAGGATGTACTGAGAATCTCATAAGTATATTCTAGGAATATCCTAATGGATTTCTCAGGAAGTTCTTGGGTATTGCAAACAGTATTTCTACAATCTTTTCTCAGAACATTCGCAATGGTTTTGGCGAACATTCTAAGCACATTCCTCCTAAAAAAAGAACATTCTTAATACATATTCTAAGGATGCAATTTTGTTATGTGGGTGTATGCACTGCTATCAGAAACTGCTGAAATGCCACTCAGAATAAGAAGAAATGGGTTGTGTACAAAGTTTGCACTTAAAAAAATGGGCATCAATAGAGACCCTGCAAACAAGAATCTGTTGGAATTTTACGCACTATACAACCAAGAACCACAATATTGGCGGAACAAACAATGCCCTTCGATGGTAGAGGGGGTCGATTTTACCCTGGCCAACATTGACTCTCTGGAAAAGTCAAATAATAGGCCTGTTCGCACAGAAATCACCAACCAGTCAGAGCGAATTTCATTGGTTGAAACTAGTTTTCTGACTGTTTCTGACTGTTTCCAACCAATGAAATTCGCTCTGACTGGTTTGTGATTGCTGTGCGAACAGGCCTAATATACCCTGTTTTGAATATGATTACGGATCCCAAATAAAGAAGATTGAATGGGTAGATTCCAGGATGGAAAAGTATGGGCAGGATTGACAAAAAAGAATGGAGGAAATCCTCAGCAGATATACGATTCGACCTAATATACACGGATGCGTCTCTGGAACCCATGACAGGGGAATGCGGCATTGGTATAGTCAACAAAACAAGAAACATTAGCATAACTGGAAAATGTTTAGATAACACTAAAATTTGCACTGCTGAAGTATTAGCTATATATGTGGCGCTTCATGCGTTAAAGGAAGAAACAAAGAAAGTGATAATAATCTCAGACTCCAAGAGCGCAATACAAAAAATTGTGAGAAAAGGAATCAGAAGAAAAACGGACAAGATTACCCTGAAAACCAGAAAGGTAATAATTGAATTGCAGGAAAGGGGAATTGTAACAGAATTTATATGGATACCAAGCCACTCGGGCATTTCAGGAAATGAGGTAGCAGACAGACTGGCTTGTAGAGGAAGAAATGCAGATAACTATGTCAATGACGAAAAGCACTATTCAGAATATTATAAAATTGCCAAAGAGGAAGCATGGAGGGAGTGGTGTAATATGTACAAGCAAAAGGGAAGGAATAATACTAGCAAATACTTCTCATTGATAAAAGAACCCCAAAAGATACCCTGGTTCACACAAATCAGTAATGCAAATCGACAAAAAATAAGTTCATTTTGTAGGATGAGAACGTCTCACTGTATAACGCCACAGCATTTACACAAAATTGGCATAGCTCCCAATGACAGGTGCGAATGTGGTGAAGTGGGAGACATCACGCACATCCTGTTGAACTGCAGGCAGAGAAGACTGCAAAGTAACAACTTGTATTTAAAGCTGGTCAAGCACAAAAATGGACCAATACTCATAGAGTAGAGTAGAGTAGCAAGAGACATTATGGATCACATCAAAAAATACAATATCGAAATATTAACACTAATAACACATTCACACAAGTTTCATACATCATATAATGAAATAATCAACTAACACATTCATACAAGGTTCACAGTCACACACATGCAATAAAAAAGCAACCCAAACAGCATCCAGGTAGTGGCAGGCAAGCAGAGGACTACCCCGTACCGACATCATCGGTACAAAAGAGGCTTATATATGGTGACAAGTAATAAGAAGAAAGAGACTGGCTGACTGTTTTTAATCAACAAGGGGCCATAGTAATTTGGAAGAAGAAGAAAATTAAAATTAAAGTAGATCGTCCCCTATATAAACCATTTAAACTACAATGAAAATATTTAATTGTTTGTCGGCAATTGTAATAACGCACTTTCCCATGTTCCTGTTTTAATTAACTGTAACTTATTACTCACATAATGCAAAGTCTGAAGTAATAAAGTGCATGTAAAGTACGTAATAATAAGTTTTCTAGTTTAACACACAAAACAAAACAAAATCCCAAACATCATCAAAAGAACCATCTTTTATCTCTAAATACAAGTCTGCTTTCGAAATGCAAAGGCAGAGGTCGAGTACCACGAACTGGTACCGATTAGTACCGGAATGTTAAAAACAGTTTTAAAGCCATGAATTATGACGAAGTATAATCTCTAGTTAGTAGCGGTCGTGGTTAATTTTCTTTTTCAACTTAACTGGGTAATTATTATTATTTCAACAGGAAGCTGCTTTCATTACGAAATTTCAAGATAATTGACGATGATAATTAATGCGTGACTCAAATTAAAAACAAAATTGTACCATGATAATAATATTATTGTTTCTCAGAAGTTATTTGAAACTACAAAAACTACTTTGTTATAATTATTTTTAAGAATCTTAGGAATTATTCTTCTCGTTTCAACATTAGATCTCTAGTATCATATTATCAGGAGCAAAATCTTTCACAAACAGAGGTACCAGGAGGTACTTCCTTTAAAAAATTGTTTCCATTTTTGAGATTAGTTCAAAAAAATCTAGCCTTTGATATAATGATGAGAGACTCAATGCAAATTGATTCAAAGAAAGTTATAATTTTTCATTTCAATAATGTGTGTGTTGAAAATATCTAGCACTAACAACTCTCTACAAACTTTACATAGATAAGTAGTGTAGACAATAAAATATTTGGCAATATACCAATCAACAAAATATTCTTTCTTACCTCTATCAATTATTACATAAATTTTCTACACAAAACGCTTACACACACACAAAACAAAGCGCAGAACCTTTTGCAGGGTTCTAACTACAAAGACATCGACCTTTAAATCGCTTCGGAATTCCGAAAATGCTGCGGTTCAGCAGAGGCGAAACGGCATTCCTGCTCTGGCCTTATGAATTTTCTATCAACAGGCTTTTATAATCGAGTCGGTGAATGATAAAATAATCCTTCTGCCTCGCAGCAGAAACCAAATACGACTGAATTTTAACTTGTAGTGTAGTAGTAGTAAAAGCAGCAGGATTCGGACTTTGGAGATCCAGCGCATGTGTGTGCGAGATGCACAGCATCAAGAAATTGATTTATTTTTTTACATTGTCTGAATCTTATAACATTATATATTGCATTTAATTTTTAGTTAAATTTAATTTCTTCATTAAATGCTCCTTCCATTGGTCTTCTGGAATGTTTTTAGCCCAATTGGGAATTGCTTCGGGTGGCAAAGAGAAACCGCCCATTGCTTCTTTTACTAAGTTGATTTTATTGGCGGACATTTCAATTTCAACTTCTTTTGGAGGTGGTTTGGACCAAACCTGAAATATTAATGATTTTTTGTCTATTCCCGGCTCTTGAATCTTTGTTCTCTTCTAAATAGAGAAAATAGGTACAAGAAATTGTTGGAATTTTTAACTCAAAAACTACCTAGGACGCAAAAATGAAATTTTGAGAATCTATTCTTGGAGGTTTGAGGTAAAACCTACTAAAAATTCAAGGTGATCTAGCTTGGAATATAGAAACAAAATATTGTGTTTATTTGTCTACCAATCCTTTTCTATTTCTCAATTTTTCCAGCTCAATTTTTGTCTATTCCTGGCTCTTATTGAATTTGTTAAAATAAAGAAAATTCAAGAACCTGGAATAGAAAAAATATAGACGTCTCTTTCTGATCTTTTAAAACATCAACTTTTGGTTTTAAGATCCTGGTCTAGAGCCTAGAGCTATCTTATGATTTGGATTTTTAAAAACTTTGCAAACCCATAACTTTTTTTCTATTATAGATAGATAGAAAGGTGAAATTTTCAGCGATTCTTATCCCAATAGAGGACTACAATCCCTGAAAATTTCAGCTCATTTGCTCTTATAGTTCCTGAGATAAAATCGTGTTAAGCAATTTGGGGTAATTTATCAATTTTTCTGAGTGCCTTTTTTCATAGATTTCGGCTTCAAATCTGAGAATAATTTAGTGGATGGAGTTTGGGGGATGTTAATTAACCATTAGGATACAAAATCTTCACAAAAAAAATTTGAAATTTCATCGTTTCAGTAAAAAGGTAGCTACCTTATGATTTAGATATTAGAAAACTTTGTAAGAACATAACTTTTTTTCTATTATAAATAGAAAGCTGAAATTTTCAGCGATTCTTATCCTAATAGAGGACTACAATCCCTACAAATTTCAGCTCATTTGGACTTATAGTTCCAGAAATAAAACCGTGTTAAGCAGTTTGGGGTGGATTTATCAATTTTACCATTTTCTGAGTGCCTTTTTTCATAGATTTTGGCTTTAAATCTCAGAATAATTTAGTGTATGAAGTTTGGGAGTTCCCAATGATCATTTAGACAAAATCTTAACATAAAAAAATTTGAAATTTCATTATTTTAGTACCTACTAAAGGCCGTCACACAGACCTTTATATTCTATACTCTACACTACACACTTTAAAATGCTAAAATCTGAATTGCTTCAAAACTCATTATATATTACCTCTTCTACTAAAACTACAGCAGCTTCTTTCATATTTGGCTCACAACTAGAAGAAGCCTCATTGTTGTCTGTAGAAGCAACCACATCTTCATCTTCTGAATCTATTAAAAAATAATTTCCAAAAAGATTGTAATTAATTAACATTTGAAACAATTTACCATTACTCAAAACATCATTGGGGTTCTGAGCAAGGGGCAAATACCCATTCCACTGATCCTCATTTTCTTCCAGTTCAGAATCTGAGTCTTCTCCAGCTCTTGGCTGTTCTAATTCCATATTCGGTGCAACTTCATTGGATTGTTCACTGTTTGTAGATAAACCTGTATCTTTTTGACCCATTGTATTTTCAATGAATGAAATTTTTTGTATAATAACAACTAACAGCTGACTACAGATTCCTACAATAAATTTTACAGCTGATTATAGTAATCTGTAAGTTTTTTGTCAATGGAACTCAAAGTTCTTTTTCCAGGCTTTTCCGAAATAATTCAACCTGATAACAATAATACTCGAGCCAATTGTACGTGTACTTTAATTAAGGGCCCCCCAAATATTATTGTTGATACCATGACTGCTTGGGATGGTCCCAAGTTAGTAGAAGCCCTACAAAAAAATGGTTTATCTCCAGATGATATTGACTATTTGATTTGCACTCATGGACATTCCGATCATATTGGGTGCAATTATCTTTTCCAGAAAGCTACTCATATTGTAGGATTTAGCATTTCGCATAAGGAAACCTATTTTTCCAGTCCAGATTTCAGCAAAGGACAAGAGTATGTTATAAATGATGGTGTAAAAGTTATTCCAACACCTGGACATACTTTACAAGATGTTACAGTTATTTTCAATCAGGATGAAAAGGTCTATGCAATTACAGGCGATTTGTTTGAAAATGAGCAAGATTTGGATGATGAAAGTATATGGATAGGAGCAGGAAGCGACAATGAGGGACTGCAAAGAAAACACAGAAGGAAAATATTAAAATTGGCTGATTTTATTATACCCGGGCATGGGGCAATGTTTGCAGTCCCACACATGTATCATCTTTGGGGTTGATTGAAAAATAAGTTTTTTTTTTACAATAATAATAATAATATAATAATAATGAAACTTATATAGTAGTTTTATTATCACTGGAGGTGTTCTTCAATAATTATTAATGAGGCACTTAAAAATTAAAATAATTATAAGACCATGTTGCTGATATGTTTTTGCTCCCAAAGCAATGATGAACAACATTGACATGAAACAAAAAGAAAATTCTTATTATAATACTACCCAAACAAAAAATATTTTTCCTATAAACAATATTCTTAGCCAGAAAAAAAAATCTCATTTGGCACTAGTAAGTAACTTCAAAGATGACCCAGTCTCCATATCTCCGCTATACCCCAAAACCGGTCCTGGCACCTTCCTTTGTCCATTTTCCCTCTGAAGCACTTCCAGCAAACTCATACCAGGCAACCAGGATTTATCTTTAATGGCAGTGGCGACAACATTCCTATTGGGCTCAGCATCATAGGCAGCACTTTCCATACCAAAATACTCACAATACTCATGAATGAATTGGCGTTTGTCGCGATTCATTGACTCAAACGAATAGGAGCGGCTTTTTTGTTTGCTTTGTTTGGCTAGTTGAACCAATTCACTCAATTTGTCGTGAACACGCTGGCAAAACTTTGCATCCTTTTTGGCCCACTGTTTCAAAAAATCAGAATATCTTGGAGTTAGTTTTTGGCTCAAATCTGGATTTTGAATTTGCAGCCCAATAGCCAACCTGCGATTCCTTTCTTGAATCCTACACTCATCTGTGCACTCTAAGATTTTCAAAATTGTTGGCTTCTTAACTGCAACACTTATATCAACAGTTTCATTGTGAGTCAAATTACTAATCTTGTCCTTTAGTTGAGCCATTTCCATATTCCTAAACTCATCACTTAATTCCATGCAAATTTTAGTAGCTTTTTGCAACCGACACAAACAAGTAACTGGAACCATTTGCTTGCAATTTGTCTCAGGACAAATAGAATCGTGGCAAGGCTTATTGCAAGGATGCCCACACAACTCTCTAGGAACACTACAAGGTTGATTACAGGGACTAGGACATTTGCCTTCATGACATGGTTTGTTGCATTTATGACGTCCACAACTCATTGGTTTACCACAAGCCAAACCACAACTAAAACTTGTTTGCTGGCAAGGAATAGCAGCCCGCTGTTCGTGATTACCAAAACACCATTGCTTGGTTAATACAAAACATGGAGGGCAATTGCCTGGATGGCATTCATGGTTGGCTGGATGTCCACAAGGTCTTACTTTGGCACAAGGCCTGTCACAAACTGGAAGTTTTGTACCACAAGGAACAGGAGGATACAAAACACTAGCGCCACAAGTGCAGAATAGTTCTTCAAAGCTGGTTTCCATACAAGTGGGACAACGTCCGGAATGGCAAGTGAACTGACATTTGTGCAAACCACAAGAGAGTAGCTTATTGCAAGGAAGTGGACAAACATGCTCAATTTCAATACAGCATTTTTGTTTGCAAGTGTGCTTGCCACAAAGGCGTTTTTTTGTGCATTTTTTCTCACATCTGGCATCATCTGCTTTAGTGGTTAGTTTTTGACAAGCCAGCTCTTTATCCATATGTCCACACCGGCATCTGATAACAGTTGTCAAAGGACAAGGCGGGCATTTGCCTTTGTGGCACTTGTCTTTGCACCAATGTGGCTTACTAGGGGGGCCACATATTAGAAGTTTACCACAAACTTTGTCACAGCAAGGAATTTCATCCAGACAAGTTTTTCTTGTAAGTTCCAATGGGGTTTTGCCACAGGGACAGGTTTTGATTTCATTTACATCGCCCTCACATGGATTGCAAGCTCCAAAGTGGCACAACTGTTGGCATTTATGTATACCACAAGCCAATAATTTATCGCAAATATTCAGGCAATTAAAATTAGTTTTGCCAATGCTGTTTTCATCACACAAAACTTTTCTGCCAGTTTTGCCACAAAAACATTCTTGGATAATTTGTTCTGTGCAAGGTGAACAAGAATCCATGTGGCAAATTTCTTTGCACTTGTGCAAGCCACAATTCAAAGTTTTATTACAAAAATTCTCACAAGTGATTTTAATTTCGCTGCAACATTTAACCACTTGCTCAGTAAGGCCACAGCCACAAGACTTAGAAACCATCACATTACATTCTGGACAAGGTCCTGGATGGCACATCAAGTTACATTTATGTTCACATTGTTTGCCTTTTTTCAAACACATATTGTCACAACCATGTGCTATAACATTGGCATGGAGCTTAGGGTCTGAGACTTGACCACAATAGCAAGAATACTGAGTGGGGGTTTCGGTGTAGGTGTTTTGGCAAGCTGGACAGCGCCAGTTTTGGTCAACTTCTGAGGATTTTGCCCAGGCGGCGATGCATGCTAAATGAACTATGTGGTAGCATTGGAAACAGGACCAGACTTTGTCTATGCGTTTGATTTTTTCACAGCAGACCATGCATTCTAGGAGGTTGCCATCTATCATTTCTGTGAGGCGTTCTCTTTGGCCAGCTGTTGCCAGGATTTTGTTTTTGTTTATTGTAATTTTGTTGTTATAAGACTTTTTATTATATCTCCTATTAGCTTCATTAGGCTCTTGGTCTTGGTAATAATAATTGTCATAGTTGTAGTTGTGACTTCTATTGTTGTAGCTCCTATTGGATGAATATTTTTTGTCTTCATAGTATTCATTAGAAGTAGGTTCTTTGTGTCTTACATATTTATTTCTATCTGATACTTGTTCAACTGAATTTGACTCTGTATAACGACCATAGGATTTATTGGAAGTATATTTTTCATATTTTGGGCCTCTATTTTTGAATTGTTGACTATCTGACTCCAGTGGGTTTGAATCAGAATATTTTTTGGATTTTTCAAGCTCTTCATTTGATTCGTGAAGCTCCATATAACGACCATTATAAGAATTAGGTTCTTTGTGTCTTACATATTTATTTTTATCTGATTCTTGTTCAACTGAATTTGGCTCTGTATAACGACCATAAGATTTATTGGAAATATGTTTTACATATTTTGGGCCTCTATTTTTGAATTGTTGACTATCTGGCTCTACTAAATTTGCATCAGAATAATATTTTTTTGAGTGATAAGTTGTTTCAGCTGATGGCTCACTATAGCCATTGTAATTGGATTTTTTACCATTATACGATGATTGTTTAAAGTTGCTACTCCTACTAGTACTACTATCATCATAATATGGTACATCATAAGTCTTTCGCCAATTATTTCTGTAATTATTTCTATCAGGATACTTTTTTCTTAGGGTTTGTTCACTGGTGGAGGGATAAAACTCTTGAGCATCTGGATGTAAGTTGGATTGCTGATAGGAATTAGTGCCACGACTTGCATAATTATTTCTATATTTTTTCCTCACGGCTCCTTGATTTTTATTGGGCGGATAATATTCTGAGCTTGCAGTTTGCGAATTTGAGCGTTCACTTTCGCGATAATTTTGATCACTAGGGCTGTTATCACCCACAAATTCGGACATTACTGATTATTTTGTTTTTGAGTTTTTCGATTTTATTTAAACGGTTACACCATATTTCAATTTATTGTTGCTACGTCACTTTTTGTTGAACAATTATTTATAACGAAAATTTTACTGGAAAAATGGGAATTTGCCAACAAAAAAAACATTGCCATACCACATGAGAGATTTTGGATTTGACAGTGTCAAATACAACAAACACTTTGCTACGTTGCCAGATTTCTTTTGTTTATGGCTGAGTTCGGCTTTACACTCTAGCTGGGTTCGGCTATTCAGCACGGAGTTGAAGTGAAGTAAGAAAAGATTTTTATCACGTGATCTAGGAGTGATTAGAGTGAAAAATTAATACATGAAAACCGGAAAATTGTCAGACAGCTGAAGCGTTTTCTTGTAAGGCGAATGGTTCGAACTACGATTTAAACCAATTTGTGGATGACATCATCACTGGTGAACACGAGAAAATGGAACCACATACTTATGTCAACGGGGAACAAGCCAGAAGTCCGGTTCGAACCAGGTTCAATGTGACGTCACTAGTTCAACGCAAGAGTGTACAGCTTCAAACCTAATCGGACCGGAGTTCCACCATCAGAAAACAGCTCAAATCTGTTCTAAAAATTGATCAAAAATCTGTTCCGAACTCGTTTACTGTCAAATGAAACCCTAAACTAGATCACAAAATCTTAATAGAAGTGCCCTGGAACACATCGAATTTACTCTTTTTTATTCGTAATTCATTTAGAACCAGTTCTAGATCGACTCTGAACTGCTTCTTATTTGAAATAGGCTTGTTAAAACTTAGTTCAGAATCAGTTCTAAATAGAACTGCGCTTACGCATTTGTTCATATTGAACATACATTCTGAACAAATCCTATTATTATTGTTACAATGTTCTGAACACATTGAATTGTTCGCAGTTCATTTGGAGCCAGTTCATATAATTTTTGAACTGGTTCTCAGAGTTCCGAGAAGTTCGATTGCTGTTCTAAACTAGAGAAAATCACAAACTAGTTTATTATTATACGGAGACGGTGCACCAGATTCCTAAATTAGTGTCGTGGATCACATTAACAATTCATTTAGAACCGGCTCCAGATCATTTCAGAATTGATTTTTAAAGTTCCTACTGCTACAATTGCTGTTCCCAATTCGAAATAAACTAAACTGAATTGTATTGGAGCACATCGATTGTTCGTAATTCAATTAAAACCGATTCCGAATAGATTTTGAAGTCTTGAACTGGTTCACAATCGAGCAATCTTTAATTAGGTATTCCAGATTATTGTTCGCGGCACAACTAGAATCAGTTCCAAATCAGTTTTATTTGTTCTTAAGCCCAAAAACCTGTTCCGAACTCGTTTGCCTTTTTATTCTTCAATATTCGAACTCACAAAGAGTAAAAAAAATACAATCTTGAACGATTTGCTTACTCAGAGCACTCGAAATATGGCAATTAGAGCAATTAAATATGTTTATGTTTGAGTATAAG